TTAAAAGTGGCCCCCTGCCTCTCTTCTCAATAAAATTGATGGTCCCACCATCACATGGTGTGAGAAATCCACCCAAAAACCTCCACTATCAACAAATAATGGGTTCACAATCATTCTTCCTCAGATTCAACTAAGGGATACAACATATATATCATCAAGAACAACTTATTCTCGGATTACAACAAGATTAAAGGAGAATTATTTGAGAAAAACTCACAAAACTGACAGCCCCGTTTTCTATCAAAACGGTCAGCTTCCACACCACTAATGTTCGATCCAACCGTCCAGAATGAAGATCAACGTGTCTAGAAGCTGCTGTCAAAATCTCAGCCCGATCCAACGGTGAACGAGCTGGAAATCGAAGAAAGAATGAAGGCTGCTCTGCTGCCTTTTCTTCTCTTTTTCTCTCTTGATTTTCTTCTCCTCTCTTCTCTTTTCAAATCTGCCGTTACAGTACCCGAACCACGTTAATATTAACACCAAGAGATATAGCCATCACATGACATTTAATGTGGTGGTCCCACCATTACATGGTGTGGGACCATACACAACAAATCTCCCCCTCACTGTTATGGTCCCACCATCACATGGTGTGGGACCATACACAACAGAAGAGGGTTTCGTGACTGGAAGCTACATAAAGTTAGGGTGTATTTGATATTATATTTTAAAAATATTTTTAAAAAATTTTAAATTTTAATTTTTAAATTACAGGTTAATATTAAAAATAATTTTTTAAAAATATTTTTTTAAAATTTTAATTTTAAATTTTTAAATTAATATTTTTTTAAATTACAGGTTAATATTAAAAATCATTTTTTTAAAAATAAAAAATATTATTATAATATATTTTAAAATAAAAAATACTTTAAAAAACAAGCATTATAATACTTGCAAACACACCGTTCTACTCTTGTAAAATTTAACACTAGTTTTCCTATCGCTGATCTTTGCCGCACCAGCCAGCTAAGAACTCCTGGCACGGTCTGAATTCAAGAGTGCAATTATATATTATATTTTGATAGGTATAAAATTTAAAATATTATTTTAATATATTTTTAAAAATATAATCTGTAACACACTTCAAAAACACGCTAACATGATCATGCCCTACCACCAGTCGTTCCAGTCCCATCATTATCAGCCACTTTGTACTTGGATGCCCTTTACTTTACGGACGGATCGCAAGCAGTCTCCAGTCGGATAGATGAAAATCATCTTTAGAAGCCCCTCCTTTCCCATCAGGACTGCTTTTGGCACAGACCTCGCTAATGCCTGTTACTTGCAGACTGCGTAGTCAGCCTAAAATGCCCGGAGGACATAAGCATCTGCATGTCAGATTTTTTTTGTGAAATTACAAGCTACATAAAGCTAAAACAAACAAGAAAATTAGTTCTCAATGACAAATCATTTGTATGACATTTCGATTCTGCAATTAAAAGAAATCTATTTGAATTGTCATATCTTGAGAAAAATAAGATCTTCCGCGTTTTTCTAATTCAATGCGTCAACTTTCTGGACCAGCTATGTCCTGCTCTTTAGTCTCCATCGCCACTTTCCCTGTACTGCCATCGTACAAAGGGCTTTTACGTATGAAACGATTGGGAATTATCAGTTGACAACAGATTGAGTGGTGGAGACAAGAAGCTATCGTATAGAAATATCAGTTCATGTGAACGACGCATCATGAACTGATATTTCTGTACGCAACCAATGAGTGGTTGCGTGTTCGCTGAGTGGCCGCTGGTTTTATATTCTGAATGCGATTTACGGGTGTTCATCTTCTAAAATCAAATTACGAGAAATAGCTTATTAACTCGAAGTCTTTAATCAATAGCATATTTATTTATGAGTTGAAAAATACATGTCACAATAGAATTCTACATTATTTTCTGTTTTTTCATATTGGGATCTTAATTTATTAATTTCTGTTAGTGAATTGCTAATATGAAGGAGTGCTAGAGCCTAGCTGAGGGTAATTTCCAAAACTAGCTAGTTGAGTGTAACGCTGTCCTAGCTGCGAGTAAGCGTTAGCAAGTCTTTGGTTAAAATTTGAGCATTTCACCCTCTGGTTAAATTAAGTTTTGGTATATATGGTCAAGTCCCATTATCTATTACCTTCACGAAGGGAGCATCTGTTAAATATCTGCATGAATTCATGTGTTTCCTAGTGCTAACTAATGTAAAATTACTCAGTTAGCTAGTCTTGTCCCAAGCAACAAAAGATCATATTGTTCACTTGGATTTTCTTTTTACCATTTTCTACGACCAACAGTGGTCTCAAAATTAGAATGAAAACGTTTCTTATTTATAACCCAAACCCTAATAGGACATCTAATCGAACTCAAAGTCCGTTCTAATTGGGTCTATCACTACAATTTGCTATTTTGGACCCTCTTACGACTAAAACTTGTATATTAAATGGATGCTAATTTTGAGAGTAGCTAGCTTGGACATCATCAAGATTTATCTTGATCCTAAACCCTGTTTTGTGTATATTTTCTCTCGTAGAATGAAATTATGAGTGTTCACATTACTATTAGGGTTGATATTAAAAATAATTAAGGTTTTAACTTTTTTATATTAGCTTAAAGCACAAATCATGCATCGATCCCATTATTAAATATATAACACCATATTACTGGTAAGAATATTTTTTTAAAAAAGCATATTACACTGTGTTTGTCATTAATTAGTTAAACAATTTTAATATCCTATTAGAAAAAAAAAGCTTGTACTGTACGAAAATGTAGTAGTAGAAAAAAAAAAAGAAAAAGCTTGTACTGTACGAAAATGTAGTTTCTCAAAAATTAGAACCAATGTATATATATTAAGAGGGGAATTATTACATGTTACTCTTTTTGTAAAACAGTGGCTTTGATAATGAGATTTGCAAGCTTCATTCATCAAATAAGAAATTTAAATTAAGTCAATTCTCCAATTGCAATATGTATCTCGAGAATTCTATTTTATATTTTCAATAACATTTTTCTCCAGTTATAAAAAAATAAATAAATGAATTGTCTGCAGTACTGAAAGATGTTCAGAAGGAGGGATCGACAGCAAATCATCAATCAGGCGTTCATATTTATAGCTTATCAGAAAAGGAATAGAAATGAAAATTAATTAATTCGTCAATGGTTTAAGTTAATTTACACCATCGATTTTTCCTACCAATCTACGAGCTACAACAAATCAGATCATGGAAGACTTGCTCACTGCATGGGATGGTGAGACCTCCCATAGGATGGTTAAAGCCATACTCTTCTTCAACATGTCTAAGCAACTTCTGAAATGAAGGGTTCTTCAAGTAGGAGATGGGAACAACACATCTCTTTTGAGTTTCTCCAACATACACAACAAAATGGCCTTTTGGCACATTACTGCTTCCTTCTGCAGACAAAAGAATACGCCTCACAACCTGCTTAGCATTGAACAAACGGATGCCCATGATGGTCAGGGAGGTAATAAAAAATCTCTGGTGGAAAGAGATGAATGTGGAACTAAAGAATCTGAAAGTATATTAGAGATACTTTAAGTTGCACTGAATTGCCTTATCGACGTATGGCTTAGGGTTTTATATATAGGGCAAAATCTCACAATATAGCCAGCTAGTCAGTCACTCAATAGATCAATAATTGGTGAAGATCATACTGTTGCAGTGGGAGCAGTACTTTACGGACATGTCCGTGGTTAAAACACGGTTTACGCGTCGGAAATATCTTCAATGGATATTTCATGTATATATAACGTACGTTAGGCTGTCATGGCCTACCATGTTGGAAAAGAAAGAAACCATGGTGGCCTAGCTGAAATTATTAAGGTTCTGTTTAAGGGCTCCTCGCAGCACAACGTAGCAAGCAGAGCACTTGGAGGAAAGACAAGCCACTGAGTAACTGAGGGCTATAGCTAAGATTCTTTTTACCAAATGATATGTCTCGATATTATAGCATGATCATTTGATAAAGTTATTTCAATCGAATCATGGATCTTATTCCCTTAGCAGAATGGTAGATATTACGGCATTCTTCCTTAAAGATTTCGTTCTATCAAATCATTCATGTTCTTTTAGCAAATGGTCATGTCACCATATTACATGTTTCTTAAAAGTTTTCGATTATATAAAACACACAGAGCTAGTTCAACCAGTATCATATTTGTTAAAAATGACCTACCAGACACAAGAGCAGACACATGAGTGGAGAGTTTGTTGTGATCAAATGAACCTTTTGAAAGGGTGATAGGTTGAATGGTAGCATATCAAACTAGCCGGTCGAGCATATAAATATACATTATTGCACATGATAATTTCCTGATCCAGTTGACTCGACGGTCGAGCATATAAATATACATTATTGCACATAATAATTTCCTGACCCAGTTGACTCGAACCTTAAACCTAGTAATTAGAGAAAGTGGCTTGAATTAAGACTTCAGAAAATGCATTTAGTGTCAGGTACATGGTCGTCGTAATGGATATTTAACATTATCCACAATTCTCGACCCTTTTATAAAACCTTATATTTTTTGTTTCTATTCGATGTTGAATTAAATTACGCGTTCTCAGTCTTAAACTTAACCTTATATTTATGTTTCTATGAATAATGAATTAAGTTTCCGAGCGAAATGACTTCACAGACAGATCCTACATGTATGTATGCAGGAATTCCTCGATTGGAGCACTTTTTAATACGACTTCTTCCTAAAAAAATAAAAAATTGAAGGCACACCAAATGCCATGTTATCCTAAATAACTAGTTCATTTCGAGGATTCAATCCACTCGATATTTATTCCGCAGACAGCGATCGACGCACTCCCTGAGTTGAAAGGCCTTTGGTCTTTGGTCTCGAATTGACTAAAAGGATATTTGGGCTTTTGTAAGTGGATAAAGCAAAACCTAACCTTGATATAGAAGTATAAAAAATAAATAAAGATTAGCCCAGATGTTTCGCAGAAAGCACTTCATTACTTGACAAAACATCTAGTCAAAATGGCCCATTAATCAGTAATTACACCAGAAGATATTTAGAGCACTGGAAATATTTGTGAACTTCGATCTTCCACACCAATCTGACTGCCAGAAATACAAATTTGATCCTAAATGGGAAATCATTCAATTTGAGTTCATGCATATATGGTTAGCTACCTGGGAGCATTGCACAACAATATTCCTGGCAGGAGGGCTGGCTACTCCGACATTTTGGACAAGTCACGAGATAAGAACCTGCGATACCATGTATATTAAGCCTTCTTGTCATTTTCTCTCTACGTGAAAGTCAAGGAAATAACCACCACTCCATGTCCATGCATCCACCCTCCCATGTCACAGCGAGCTTTGTTTTATCTCCCGGTTTTTCAGGACGCCCATTTATTCTCACCTGATCTGGACAAGAACGATATTCATAGATAAACCAGTAAAATAGCACTCCTACCTACGAGATTTTTTGTCTTTGCATGGTGTCACTAGAAACAAACAAAACAAACCATGTGAAACTTCAACTAGTCGTTCTCTTCCTAATATCTTGGTTTTAAAACTTGATCAGCATCTAGAAAAAGAATCTCAAAGCTTGCCGAGGGGATAGCGATCGACGCACTCCCTGAGTTGAAGGGCCTTTGGTCTTTGGTCTCGAATTGACTAAATCGTTGACTAAAAGGATATTTGGGATAGAGCAAAACCTAACCTTGATATAGAACTATAAAAAATAAATAAAGATTAGCCCAGAGTTTACAACAACCCCTCTATCTTTCTCTCTTTCTCTCTAGTGTTTCTCTCAATCTCTCCACACTTAATTGCATAAGCTTAACTATCTATTTATACACGAAATCAAAACAAGAAAATTCAACCTTCAAGTGTGAAGGTGGTTGTGACCGACGATGTGAAAACGGCTGGCGGCTTGATGGTTC